CTTCGTCCTCTGTGCTTGTGGAATCACATGCAGCCTTGTGCTAGCTTTGCCCGAGCTCAAGCAACATGGCGGACAAGGCCGCCTGGTACGACCCCGCTTGGGGCGAGTGGGCTCGGGAGATAGAGGCCGGGTCGGGTGGATCAGATCATGCATGCACATCCAAACAGAGAAGACATTTGTTGCATGCAGGAGGAGCATGCCGCTGCCGAGTGGGCTCGTGAGCTGGAGGCTGGGCTTCTGAAGAATATTGCAGACCAAAAAGCCAATGTTGCCAAGCACACTGCTGGGATATTCTGATCTGAGGCAGACTATGCCAGAAAGCGGAAGGCTTCGAAGACAGAGGCTCGGTTCACATGTTGTCAGCCTGTGCAGGCTTCGTGGTGTTGCTGGCTTGTGCAGGTCTCTGATCAGCCTATACAGGCTTGCCCAGTGTCATCCCTTTGTAATGTTTAGGGTTTAGGGTTTAGGGGTTTAGGGTTTAGGGTTTAGGGGTTTAGGGTTTAGGGTATAGCCTGTACCGGCTCCTTTCTTAAAGCAATGACAAATCTGTTCAGGTCGAAGCTGCTCAGCAAAGCAGTGCGAAAGTGCACAAACCAGAGGCCGAGGTCAAGGAGGAAGAGCAGATGGAGGATGCACGGCTTCAGACGGCTCTTGCCCGAGCGATGTTGTATGCTGCAGGTGTGGCAGCGAGCCAGCCTAAAGCACCGGCACCGGTTCAGCATCACTTTGTGCCCAGTGCACCGGTGCCACCGCCTCCTCCGGTGGCAACAACTGAGGAGCTGCCTGGATGGGACATGCGACATGGTTTGGGCCAGCAGGATGGCTTTGTCCCGGTGACCACTGAGGAGCAGCCTGGATATGACATGGGTGGCTTTCAGCAGCCGGCAACCACCCAGGAGCAGCCTGCGTATGACATGCCACATGGTTTTGATCTGCAGGGTGGCTTTCAGCAGCCAGTGGGCCAGGGCGGCTATGCCTCCGAGTGGGCTCATGATGGCCAGCAAGGTGCCAATGCTGGGCATGTTGAGCCAGGTGGCTATGTTGGGCAAGGTGGCGATGCTCAGCAGACTGGGGCACCACCTGAGGTGGAGCAGGCTTCTGCTCCGACACCTGTGGATGTCAAGGAGGAAGAGCCGCCCAACGGGTGGACGGACAACCAAGGCCGTTACTGGTCGAGGGACACCCACAACCCTCTTGTGTGGTGGAATCTGGACGATGTTCATGGATGGTCCAGGTGGAAACAACCAGTGGCTGGGTAGCAAGATTTGAAAGCATGCAGCCTGTACAGGCTAAGCTCTTAAGTTCCAGTTGAAGCAAGCCTGTGCATGGCAGCCTGTACAGGCTATACTGGCAGCCTTTACA